CTACCGGTTGCTCCAGGGCGAGCTGACACACCTGGACCTTTGCTTTTTCTCTTGATATGGGATGGCAAAGTGGCTGGCGGCCGCAAGACCGGCTGGGACTGCTGGCAGCCTGCAGTGTGCCTGGGCGGGGGTGGGGGGCACTAGATTGGCGGCAGCAGTTGGTCCTGCTGGCAGTGGAGAGCAGTGGCTGCGGTGGGGGAGGCGGGGGGAGTCCTCTGCCTGTTCCAGCTGACACTCGAGTCGAGGCTTTGATGCTGGTTCCTGGCAGGGCGGACCCTGTACTTTCTTCTCCGTCCTGAATCCGCCAGTGCCGTGCAGCTTCATGGAGTGCCTTCCCCAAGGGCTGGACCTGCAAGGTCATCAGCTTTCTAGATGCGGTTGGACTACAAAGACTATCATCTCTCACCTGTGGCCATGCTGGTTGGGGCCATTTACAAATGGCCCAAAAAGGACAAAAGTGGGTGGCAAGTTGCCTGAAATGTGGCCATGCTGAGGTGTCCATAGACGCAAATTCAGAAATTATAATTGGCCTGCATTTCTTTTCCAGTTCTGTCTCCCAGAATGGCCTTTGTGAGGAGGACAGATGGCCACCCTAGACACCTTTTAGGGCAAACCTTCCTGGGTTGCATACAGCAACATCCCGGACTGTGAAACTCCTCGTTTCTCAGGCAGCTCAACAAATCATGCCAAGAGGCATTGGGTATTGCAAGCCACCGAGGCGCCACTCTGCCAGTTCCAGCCATCACCAGCCAAACAGTTCCAGGAGCCTAGGCTGCAGCCCCAGACTTGTGGAGCCCCCAGGCTATTTCAGGAAGGCTGTGATGAAGCACACCTTGGAGTTGACTGCATCATGAATGAAAACACAGAGATGTGTTTTGAATGCACAACTTGGCTACATTAGTGGTCCCAGAGATTGGTCAGACTGTCACAGAACTGTAGAGTTGGCTTTGAGGTCTAGAATTGTGATTTTTAAGAATTAATTTATTTTGTACGTTAGTTCAAATGATCAAGATGCTGAGCCATTACCAATTCATGCATTTTCCACTTGGAGCAGAATTGTGGGATACATACAAGTCCCTCTAAAAACTCATTGGTTCTCCTCAGCTCAGAAAAATGACCTCATGTCCTGAGAACGTATTGTGTGAATGGAAAACGGATCCCTCCCTTTCCGTCTTCTCCTTGAGGCAGAGATTATGGAGAGAAGGTTGCTGCTGATGACAGGTTTTTCCACAGCCCAACAATTTGGGGTGGGTGGGAAGGGAAATCGGGCAGATTCCTAAGAGCTGCTTTCAGTGTGGCTGCCCCCAGATTACAGCTCTTCTCCTTGGCCACCGTTTCTTCCCACCAGAAGTGCTCAGTCAAAGACCTACCACTACTAATTTATTGCAGATGGCCATTCCTGCTTGCAGAGAGGAGAGGAAGAGTAAATCGTGGGAAGTCGGCAGGGCAGCCAATCTGGGTTTACAGCAATTATAGCACAAAACCATGGATTCATCACATTTTCCTGGAATGAGCAAAAACTGAAAACAGCTGGGGAGGGGGGAAACCCCTCCAAAGAGGGGAGGGGGAGGAGGGGGAGGGGGGTCTCCCCTCAAATGTCCTCCTTCCATATGCGTCTCTCTAGCAAGCAGCTTTCTAAGTTTTAACTCCTCAGCCTATGGCAATGAGGGGAACGCACAGCCCTCAAGATGTTAGTGGATGGCCATTTGCATCATCTCTTGCCACTAAGTGACTGACTAATTAACTGACCCACAATTTGGTGCCACTGCATGTGAACCAGGACACTGGAGTCTTCAAACAAACACACGGATACAGATGTCAGAGCTGAATATATTGTGTTTAGCCACCCTGGTTAAGGAGGAGTCTGTCAAAGTGTTTTGACTCCAGCTTGTGCAAATAGGTCGAGTTATGAACCAGTAAGTTGCAATTGGCCGTACTTTCAGTTGGTACCCTTAGATAAGCGCTTTCTTTCTCTTTCGGAGCCTCTTGATCTGCCACATGGGTGATCGTCATCCCGACTTACCTGATTGCTGTGAGAATTACAGCCAGCAAACCCCTCTAGGAAGCTCTGTGAAGGCCTGAAAGGATCATATCCCTGTTTAAGTGCTGCGATTACTTGGTGGTCAGCGTTGTTCCATCTTGAACTCCTGGATTCGCAAGACAGCAGCCTAGTACTGCCAAAAGCAAGATGCGTGCTGACTGCACTTCCCATTGGCTCCAGGAAGCATAGCCAACAGCGAGGGCAATTGGAGGAGATGCCTATGCCAACTGAAGAACCAGCCCATACTGGGTAATGTGGCATTGGGAGCCCCCCCCCCCCCCCGAGAGGCCTGTGAGCGAGGAACTGCCATGCAGTGAGGCAGGGCTGGGGCCCAGGCTCAACAGGCGGCAGGGACTCCATTCGTGGAGCAGCCCGGTGCTCTGGGCCACCTGCCAGTGGTGCCTCTTGGAAGCATTTTATGATTTGGCCCTTCCTTGGCAAGGAAGGTATTTTACTTCATTAGGTTTCTACAAAACCTAGCTGCTCAGAGGGGTTTCAGCCAAACAACCACCCTGTGAGGTAGGACAAGCTAAGCAGATTACAGGGTGGCCACGAATCTTTTTCTACAGAAGAGATTTTTTTCTTGGAAAATCTGCCACATGACTATCCTCTATTTGCGGACTTTCTCTGTTTGAAGGGCTGTCCTGTCCAATTCTGGCTTAAAGATAAAGCACAGCAAGAACTGATGCCCATTTACCATTAGTTGCAAACAGGAGACTGAGATTTCCATGGTACACGGAGATTTACCATATTTCTATTCCAATTGTAATAATTATTTCTGAAGTCGCCCCTATACATCTCAATTACCACATGCAAATCAATGCAAAGTTGTGCCCCCTGCATGGATGCATTTCCTCTTTTGTGGCAGTTCCTAAGTAGCATATGATACAGACTAAGAGCAACCAGCAACCTTCAGGGCTTTGCAGGAATACGAATCGGTGCTTTCCGCTGCCAGGACCAGCAGTATCAGAGTGCCTGTATTTTTGAAAGGCCCCTTAACCTCCTTCCCATCGCGGCTCCTGCCTGCTGGCTTGCCAGGCAGAGAGCCAGTGAGCAAGGCGGGCGCGGCATCTCCCGCTCGTCCTGGGCTCTGGTCCAGAGCGAGATGCAGGTGAACAAGGAGGTTGCCAGGCGAGGACGAGCAGCAAAACCAGCGGAGGCCGGCCAGGGGGCCCCCTGCTGGGAGCTGCCGGACCAGCCACCCCTGTTGTTCACGAGTCTCCCGCTTTGTAATTTCAACAACTCGCCACAGGGTGGCGGGCTATGTTCAAATATTTCAAAAGTTTTCCAAAAAGATTTTTATTGGAACAATATATTGAAGATCTCTCCAGTTAACCAAATCTTTGCAACTCAGGTTCACTCTGGAACCGAACTGTGATGGCAGAAAGTCCTTTTTTTAAACTAAGTTAAAATATGCTCCACTGTGCCCACCAAACCGACTCACAAGAATGATGTTTGGCAAGCAGAGTCTCCCACAACCCATCACTGAATGTCAGGGTGGAGACCCTGAAAAATCAACTCCAACAACCCCAACAAATGGGTCCAAGGCAGGGTAGTGGGAATTGCAGTCCAAGCTCTGGAGGTGCACATGATTTCCCCACTCCTGCCGAGTATAATATCCATCCGTCTGCCCCCAAGCTCATCTCAGTGATGGCTGAGAAAACTACATGGTCTTGGAAGGCCCACTGTTGAGGGCGGTGACCAGGCAGGGGAGAAATAGGAAACCAGATGGAAGAGGAAATGAAATGGAACCACCTTGACCTGGAGCGCTCCACATTGCAAGACTTTTCTCTGAACTGATGTCCCTTTATCTGTATACTCGCCTCCTGCACGCCCACCTCTAATGAAGCAGTAGCCGGTTATGGGGGTCGTTCTGGGACAGGGCGGAGGTCATTAATCTTTCCACAGGTCCCCCAGAACTGCGTGCACTTCTGCCTCTCCAAAGAACTCTGCTTCTCTGCTTCCTCTCCCTGACCCTCAAACCCCAGGATAAACCAAGGCAGGTGATGCAGCAGCCCTATTCTTCTTGTTAGGTGCTGTCAAGTTGTCTTCGACTTACAGCGACTCTAGGAATGAAAGCAATCCGCAATGCCCTGTCCAGGAGAATTCCATTCAGCTTTTCCAAGTTCAAGGCTGCGGCTTCCAATCCATGCTATAGCTGGTCTTCCGTTTCGTCTTCTGCCTTCAACTTTCCCTAGCAGGATTGTCTTCTCCAGGGAGCCCTGCCTTCTCTGGAGGTGTCCAAAGTATGACAGCCCCATTTTTACTTCTAGAGAAAGCTCTGGCTTGATTTGATCTAGATCTCACTTGTCTTTCTGCCAGTCCAGGGTATTCCCAAAGCCTTTCTCTAGCACCATGTTTTGAACATATCAATATTCTTCCTGTCTGGTTCCCCCCCCCCCCATAGTCCATCTTTCACTCCCATAGATAGTGATTGGGAATACAAGAGTTTGGATGATCTTGACCTTGCTTCGTATCCAGTAAAGTATCCTTGATATTTTCTAGTTCCTTCATTGCTGCCTTTCCAGGTCTGTCTTTGAATTTCTTGGCTGCAATTTCCCTTTGAATTGATGACTGAGCTGAGGGATGTTAAAGCTTTCAGTTTTGTTTTTTTTCATCATTAACCATGAAGCTCTGTAATTCTTCTGTGGACATGCTTTTGGTTTCTTTGTTCTTTCACTTTCAGAGTTGTTTCACATCACTGCTGCTTTCTGCCAGGAGCCTTCCTGAAGCTGAAGTTCACGTCTGAGGGGCAGGTATCACTTTTGGAATTCTGTGGGGACCAGTCTGGGGAGACGTGCGTGATCAACCCAGCAAATTCCTTATTAGTGTAAGAGCTTCATTAGGTCGCCAGAAATATCACAATAATTGTGCAGACATTGTGCAAATGGATCTGGGAATGGTTCTTATGATCTTTAGTTTAAAATAGCAAGAATATGTGGCTGTGCAAAAGAGCTTATAATCTTTCTTGGTTCAAAAAATTTATTTATTTTTTTGTTCTTCACATCATCAAGTGCCTCAAGTTTAAAACAAAAAACCAAACCCCGCATGTATCTCCAGCCACAAGGGCAAGCCAACAACACAGAAAAGCCCTAGAATACTTTTTAAATAGTTTCAAAAAACAGAACAAAACCCACACAGAACAGTGTCGAAGATGGTTTCCATTATAAATACAGTGCAATAATTATGTACAACTTTTACAATATTAAGACAAGAGCCACAGTTGCAGAGCTGGGCCAAATACATTTGGAAGGAGTTTCAAAGATTTTCATTTCGTACAAGACAAAGAAAGCACCAAGCTATGCGAAGGAATATTCCCCTCCCATCCTTTTGATGAACACGCACTCAATTAAGATCAAAGCTGAGCTGAAATTCATTCTTAATGCATGCTCAGGCCATATTCAAATCTAGCTTACGAAGCTGGTTCAACAGCCAAACACCCTCAAAAAACAGCACACGAGGAACATGAACGACTAATTATCCTACAAACCAAGTTCCAAAGCATTTACAATCAACAGAACACTGTAGAATGATTACTAAGAAACAAATGGAGGTTCTCCAAACCTACCATCCATTTTTCTATGTACAAAGTAAGGGACTTTTTTACACAACGCAATCGATCAAGAGACCTCTGTTTAAAAAGCTTATTTTCAAACTGGTACACAGTACAGAGCCCTTTAAGTATCCTTTTGTGGCAAGAGAGGAACGCCTCCAAGCAAAACATGTGTGCACACGTGCGCACACACACACACACACACACACACACACACAGCACTGTGGCATTTTCACCCAGGATTTACCCATTTTCCGAAAAAGAGATCCCTGAACTCCTGTTGGGTGGTTGGCAACCGGCAGACCATGAGCAGCATCCGTCCCCTTGGTGTGGTGGGTCTTGAATGGGGAAAGAGCAACTTGAAGGGAACCAGCTGGAAGAGACGGGGGTGCACCAAGGCAGGGCAACAGAAGCCCGGTGGCTCGTGTCGTCTTGTGCAAAGCGGGGCTGCCCCCTGGGAAAGGCTGGCTACTGAGGTCTGGTCTCCTTGCAGCAGGGATGGCTTTGGTCCAACTCGGAGCTCCGGAGGACCTGTCTACCAACCAGAAGAAGCCGGCCTGCTCGGTCCTAGACCTCCTGGCTGCACAACATCTTCAGCTGGGAATGATTTGCTCAGGACAGAATTCATAAAGGGAAGGATGCTCAAAGGAATAACTGAGCTTGATCGCACAAGCCCTCTGCAGCCAGAAAGCAAATCCTCACCCAGAGGTGTTCCAGCCCTGCATACAAGTGGAATCACTCCTGCATTAGCACAGCCTCTACCCCGTTGTCCATCACTCAAACACACCAAGGCCTCTTTACTTTTGGAGTAAGTGCCCCCGACACTCCTTGCTCCAAAGATGCCCCACCATAAAACACATGTGCTAATGAGAGCAGCCAATGCCACCAACTAAAGCAGCTTTCCCTGTCCTGGTGTCTCTCCAATGTTTTGGACTACAACTCCCAGCATTCCTGAACATGGGCCATGCTGGCTGGGACTGAAGTCTAAGACAACTGAAAAGGCAAAGGGAGGGGAAAGAGGTGGAACTGAATTTTTCTGCAGCTCCCCACTGAAGGGCAGGTGGGGCCCTTTGGAAGAAAATGCAAGTGAGGTGTGAAATGCAAGGTAGTGGTGCTTGATTAGCCAAGGTGAGAGAGAGAGAGCGAGCGCGAGCACTTGGGGGCCAGCCTTGCCCAATAGGCCATTTGATCAAGAGCAGCAGAAACGTGAATTCTTTGTTCCCTGAGAAAGCACGGCTTCACTATCGATAGCTGGTGCCACACCAGGGCGAATGCGCACCTTGCACAAGTTGCAAGACTGCCACTAAAAACAGCTTCCCTGCATGCAGATTTTCTGCCCCATACCATCTAGGGAAAACTGGAGGCTCAACTGCGGCTTATCCCAAAGGGATGTCTCCCCACTTCTGCCGCTCTGCTCACAGCCCACGGTTGCCTGGCGAGCTTAATGCAAACACAGCTTCAGGTACCAGATGCTGTTCGCAATGCTTCTTTAAATAAGCACAGACAGGACAGCAGCATCCCCTTCTGGGGGAGAATGAAATATGTTTCTACAGCTGTGGATGTCAGCCCAAGCAAAATCTCTCTCAGCTGCTCCATTGCCTGGTCCTAACCGAAGGGAGGGGAAAAGCACGCTTCTCTCGCTTGCTGGACCAAATTAAGCAGCTGATCAGTCATGCAGTTGTGGCGGCCAAATGATTAACCAGGCACTGTAATGAGAATGAAGCCCCTCTTATTTCAGGATATGAGGATTTGCATGGGGAGACTGAAAACATCTGGATCTGCCATTAGAAAAAATAAATGAAAATTCCATCTTCCAAGCAAGTTTCCATGGACAGGGTATGGCTGAAGACAAGGGCTGAAGGAGACCGTTGCAAGAGAGCCAAGCCTTCTGTGGCTGGAAGCAAATGTTCCTTCAGGTCCATGGGGGGAGGGTAGCACGTCAGGTGCAAAAACACCTGGAATGCAGGTGCTGGGAGAAGAAACATGCATCAGAGAGAAATGAGGAATGGAGCTGGTCACCCTGGAATGGCTCCCACCCAGAGGGGAGCAGCCACAGCGGAGATTTGCTCTCTTCAGAGATGAACAGGAGATCAGCGTGTCTGGATCCAATTCAGGGATATGGATTGGCTTCTTTCATACAGATCGCTGCTCATTTAGACCCCAGCCTTTAGGCAGAGCAGGGCAAATTGTGGCCTTCCTGAGGTCTGTGCCCACGATCCCATCAGCCATAGCCAGCACAGCCAATGGTGACGGTTGACGGGAGCTGTAGGCCAAACATCTGGAGGGCTGCAAGTTGGCCAACACTTGGCCTTTAGCAGCCCGAAGAAAATAAGCCCACCTCTCCTCATTGCACCCACTGCATTAAGTTCCGAAGGGAGTTCCAGCTGCTGCCCCGAAACAGAAAGCCGTGCGATGCATTCATGAAAGGATTAACGCATCGGAGGAGGGCGATGCTGGGGTCTCCCAGCAAACCCTGGGGAAGGCTAGGCACCCGAAGTCACAAAGGCTCCCAAACCCACAAGCATCACCCGAGCACGCTGCTGGCTCCGACACACGGCACTGCCAGCCCTCATTCTTCAGACAGCTTGCCCTGTGGTTACTCAGCGTTCAAGCCCCCTAGATGGGACCAGAGCGCCAGAAAGTGGAGCCAAGGCGGCGGCTCATTCTCAGCCCCCTACAGCCCAGCAGTGGCGGCTCCTTCAACACCCAGAACCTGCGCCAAATTGCTGGCAGCACTCTTCTCTCTCCGGGCGAGTGCTGCACGCAGAACACGAGCAGGAAGCAGAGCGTGCTTTCCAGGGAGAGGTGGCTGGCCACCTGAGGAACTTGCCAAGCCTCACCCCAGGCGGGAATCGCCCTTCAAGCTCACGATACTCACCAAGGATTCCTAACAGGAGCTGGGAGGCCAGGCAGAAGCCAGAGGCTGCCTATAGCAACTCTCGGCCTCCACACGGCGTCGGAGTGGGGAGAACCAGAGCCCTTGACGGCCTCCGGAAAGCCTGGGAGGAGCGCCAGGGAAAGCTCCACAGCCACGTGCCGCCAGGCCAGGGGCCCGAGGCCTGCGGTGGCCGTCCATGCATGCACGCGAGTGGATCGGTAGCACCGTAAGAAGCAGCAGGAGCCCCGGAGTCAGTTCTTCAGCAGGTCACCCAAGTCGTAGGCCTCAAATAAGTCGCTCACGCCCTCCCCCTCCTCCAGGCCCCACAAGTAGTCCTCGTGGTCGAGAGGCGGGGAGAAGCTGACAAATGGCCCCGCGTCACTGTAGGAGGCGGAAGGGAGCTGGTCCTCCGTCTGCTGCAAAAGGTGCTGGGGCAGCTCCAGGAAGCCATCTTCTCCTTCCATCAGGCAGCTTGGCAGTTCCATCTTCACGGACTCTGCTGGGGAAACGGGAGAAAGGCAGTGGGTGAGAGAGCAGAAGGGGGGCACCTCTAGCATCAGCAGCTCTAGGTACCCTTCCGAAGGCCAGGACGGGGAGCTGCCATTTTAAATGCCCCTAAGGATGCTATCCTACAGAGCACTGTGGGAAACTAAAGGGGCGACTCCCAGTCCCAAGCGTCTGGCACTGTCCCCAGATAAGCAGCAGGAGCCCAACACCAGAGGGGGAGTCTTTGGATCAAAGCTGGCCCTGTGCAGAAGCCGGCTTGGAGACGGCCGGTGGAAAGCAGCAACACACATCTTCCAAAGCAAATTGTCCCACGGGTGCCAAGGGGTCACGCCCCACGGAACCTCCTGCGTTACCTTTCGCTGGCGAGGGATTGCTACTCTCCGGGTGCAAAGGAGCCGGGAAGCTGCCCTCCTTGGCAGGACTTTCCTCCAGGATTTCCTCAGGACACAGGTACACCTCAATAGGACCATTGGTGCTTTTCAGGTGGAGCTGGACATTCTCCTGGACAGAGGGGAAACAGCGTTAGACCGCAGCTGCCTTCCCAGCCCGGTGCCCTCTTGGATTCTGGTGTCCCTCCTCACTGCCCCACCACAAAAGGGCCCAGTAGAGTTGTTTACAGGGGGCCTTGGGCAAAGCACCTTGTCACTGGCCCCCTCCTACTACCTGGTGGTAGCACCAGAAAAGAGCTGGATCTAGGAGCAGCCATTTCAGCTTCCCACAATGCCCAGGCATGTGGCACCCTTCTGGGGCACTGTGGGGAATTAAGATGGCAGCTCTGGAGCCAGGACACTTTCTCCAGGGAGGCACAGGGCAGCTGTCAGTTAGCCCCCTGGTGAGCTCTGGGTCTTGCAATGCTGCGAAGCCTCATCGTTCTTGATCTGCTCGCACAAGGCCTTTCCGCTCCATGCTTCCCAGCCAAGTCCGTCAGCAAAAGTTGCCTTCCTGCCTCTGCTTATTCAGTGCAGAAGAGCTGGGGACCAAGCATGATTTGCTTCCTTACTCAGAGAAAAGCCAAGGAGAACTGGCCCACCCATCCACCAAGTCTGTCCAGAACTGCTCACCTCACAGATATCTGGCACTTCCAGCCGAGTTTCTGGCGGGGCTCTGACCACAATCACCGTCTGCTCGTTGAAGTTGCTAATGGCACGGATATCCTGATACGTCACATATGCTAGCGTAAGACGCCAGGGGGTGGAAGATAAGGGAAAGAACAGAGACCTCCCCAAGTTGCTGACCCACCAGAGAAAGCCTTTACTCCTTGAGAATAAAGCCACATGTCCTGTCTTTGGATCTCCCACCAGAGATGGGCAGAGCGTGAGGATCCTGCAGGCAGGCAGAGAGCCAAGTATCTTCATCTCCACCAGGGAGCATCTCTGTATGTGTCAAATGCCTTTGAGTCCAAGGGCAGCATTCCATCGTGGGGAAGCTCGTGGGGGCCTCATGCCAGGGAGGGGCAGGGCTGAAGGCAGCCGAGGCCGTGCCAAAATACCTGCACGTTTCAGCATAAAGCTCTCACTGCCAGTAAATAAACCTTTCAGACTTGGGGAACAGGAAAAAAATGAGCTGGGAAATCAGCCATCTATTGAGGTTGCAGGACAGATGGGGTATGCTCGCTGGGGGAGCCCAGAGGGACGCCGTGGGCAAGCCAGACCTGCTCTGTGGACCTGGGACTCAGCACCACTGCTGTGTGTGATCGCTCAGCGTCAGAAATCCTCACAGTTCCCAGATCATGCCATGAGCTGGAAAAAACCTCAGACATTAGATCTTTATGAGAGCCAGGGCGGTGCAGTGCTTAAGAGCGTGGGACTGGGACTCAGGCGACCCGGGTTCGAGTCCCCGCTCAGCCATGGAGCCGACTGGGTGGCTCGGGGCCAGTCACAGACCCTCAGCCCAACCCGCCTCACAGGGTGGTTGTTGTGGGGATAAGCTGGAGGAGGAGGAGGAGGATGTAAGCTGCCTTGAGCCCTTGCAGGGAAAAGGCAGGGTATGAACTGAACGATGGATGGATGGATGGATGGATGGATGGATGGATGGATGGATGGATGGATGCCATCAGCATTAGGGAAGACTTGCACTCAGTCAACTTGGATGCACAGAAAGGAGTCTCAGAACAGACCCATCACCTCTGAAGGGACTGTGGGCTACCGTTCATTTCCAAGAGCGTGCGTGGGAGTTACAGATTTGCACGCTCACCAATATTCCAATACAAAAACAGCCACCTTCGTACAGGAAGCACTGCGTCAAAAGACGAACCATTTTATGCCTTAGAAGCAAAGGTAAGGGATGATGGCAGAAGAGGAAAAAGATCCGTACGGAAAGAGGAAAAAGAAAGAACTCCCCACTCCCGTCCTGGCTGGAACAACTTGCAAGGGGTGAGGAGTGCTCTGCAAGTAAGTCACACCCCCATGGCCTACACTCAAATAGTGTAGTCCTGCCAGGGCTGTGCCGCCTGACCATTTTGGAGACACAGTCCTCCCACCCATTCTCCCCCACGATCCCAGCCCTCGAAAGGATATCTCTGGTTGGTTTCGTCGTCGGTCAGGTGCTTCAGCTGCAGCGTGCACTCGTGGATGAGCTTCTCCAGCACCCGCTCGGTCTTGGAGAGCTCCGCCAGGTCCTGCCGCAAGGCCTGCTGCTTCATGGTGACGGAGGAATCCTCGAAGATCCCCGTGCCCCTGCGTGGCAAGTTCAGCAAGTTAGTGTTACCGTCGGTGAACCCAGAGCCTGAGCTGCAGCACGGGAAACGCCTGAGCCAACGCTGGGTTTCAGAATCCTGCACCATGGAGGGTGTCTCTGAGCCGATACAGAGTTCAAAGATGTCCTTTTATTTTGAAAAGGGAAACGTTAAAAAGTAGTTAAGGACACTGATACTGTGCACCGTTGCTTGTAAAGGAGACGAGTGGGAAGGAGGGCATTCATTGGTAAAAGAAGACAAATAGCAGCTGATATAATAATAGTTGAGGGAGAACATTGCATACTTAGGGGCCACCATTGAGAAGGCCCTCCTCTGCCCCCTGGCAAACCTCTGAACCGCCCTTTCCCACAGAGGAAGCACTTGGGCTGCAATCCAGCACATATGGAGGGCACCAGTTTGGGGGAGGATGATGTAGCGTGACCATTCCCATCCGCTAGATCCGGCTTCTCATCCAGCATCAATTCCTGAGGTCCCGGGTGCCCAAGGCACTTACATCCATTGGATGTTGTTCTTGGATTTCTTCCGGATGAGCTGGATCCCCTCTAGGACGTTGGTGATGTCGTAGATGCGGCGCTTCTGGACATCCAGCACCTCGGCAGCCCGGTTCAGGTCCAGCACACCATCCTCCGACTCACTGAGCAGGTGGATGAACTTCTTGGTCAGCAAGCCGAGGGACGTGTCGTAGCGGGTCTTCTCGCCAGGCGACTTGGGGGCTGGAGAGCAATGCCAGAGAATCATCAGAACATAGCAAGAAGTGTGGCAATTCCGGCTCCCCAGTTTCCAGCCGAGCAACACTCTTTCGACAAGCGGGTCGCGCTCGCAAAAGGAGGTAGAAGGACAAAATGGATCAGGCCCAGGCTGTCTTCCTTAGTGGCCCAAGGACAAGCAGTACAGCCACACCCCCTTGAAACTGGGGGAGGCAACTTCTGGGGACCAGTTGCTCACCCCAGGGGGACTCGCGCCACCAACCTCCCCAAGCTGCCGCCTCCACACTGCCAAATGTGCTTCTGGAGCATGATTTTGCACCGAGCACATGATGCATGTTTTCCCCATGCCTTGTCTAAAAGGGAAACATCGATATTTTCACTGCCGTATTTTGGTGTTTCATTGGGACATTTACACCCCAGAGTTTCATCAAAGGAGCCAAAGATGGCATACATGGTTCTCCTCCTCTGCCTCTTTTCCTCACAACAGCCCTGTGAGGCAGGCTAGATTGCAAGTGAACGATTAGCCCAAAGTCACCCAGTCAGCTTCAGTGCCAAGCAGGGAACTGAACTGAACCTTTTCATTGGCCCAACATTTCAATAATTTTAATTTGGTGTTATTAATATTCTCAGTTGCAGTTAGTTCTTTTGTTTCATTATTGTATTTTTCATTGCTTGTGTACTTATTGCTTATTTATTTTGCAAGCTGTCCTGGGACAATTGGATTGTGTAGGATGGGATAAAAATATTGCAAATAAATGAATAAACTCAGATTCTCCCGAGTCCCAGTCCAGCATTCTCTCTGCAGCAGCTCTCAAATTCAGCAAACACGCTAGCCTGGTGGAAATAGCGGTGACTGCAAAACCAGGCCGGGGGCCCCATGTGGACTGCGGGCGACATGCTGCCCGCCGCTGACCCAAACAGACTTCCTACCTGGAGCAGCCAGATATAAAACAGAACGGGGCTCCTCACCCCTTCCCTGGCAGCCCCCTAAGTGACACTGCTGAAATCCCTCTTCCCCACAGCTATTCAAAGCAGCTCCCGTCCTCTTTTACGCACAGCTGCTCCACTCTGGCCTCTATGGGGCAATTGATGGGGGGGGGGGGGCATCTGTATTTCGGTTGCTTCTCCAAGCTGTTTCAATGGCTTCCTCTTGTCAAAAAACAGAGAGAGCTCCCTCTGCCGGCACACTTGGTCTCCTTTTCTGCTGCACATGTGGTTGTAATCATGTTAGTTTGAAAATGTGCCCTGCTTTCCTGAGGCCATTAGTCTCCCATGAAAAATGGGGGTCGGCTGGGACAGACTTTCTTTTAGTATGTTAAAGCAGGCGTCTTAACCATCAGACAAGAAAGCAGGGGGCAATAGTTAAGCTTGGTTTTAAAAAGACAGAACAGGCTTTGCTCCATTTCACTGTGCTGGAGTAGCAGGCAGCTCCCCCAAATTTATTCCTCAATGCTGTAAAATGTCCCAAAGGGAAGGATGCTGCATCCTTGTTTGGAGAGGCCTGTAGGGTCAAAAAAAAGATGCCAGCCCCCATCAGTCAGTGGCCTGACTCTATATAATGAAGCTTCTGCAGATCTGCTAAGAGCCATGCTGCTTGTAGGCTGAACGGAAGAAAAGCAGAGCCGCACAAGATATTGCTAAGTGGTCACCTCGAGAGGCAGTTCAGGCCTTTTGAGTGATCAGCTAAGTGGCCGCTTAAGAGGCTGGATTGATTGCACACCTGCTCGGATAAACACGAATAAACATGTGTGTTGTATGTGTATAAACGTGTGTGGGAAAATGTGTGTGTGTAAGTGTAGGAACAGATGAGAGAGGCAGCGGGGAGCACCCCTGCTTCAGTTTAATCCTGCTCCCTTTCTCAGGGGTCACCCCACCTCTGGCATGTGACCCCAGAAGTTGGTCTCAAAGGAGATGTGGCCCTTGAGCTAAGAAAAGTCCCCCACCCCGATTTAACAACGAAAGACTGCCACATTGCCCCCCACATCTGCCATCCAGTACTTCTGGTCCCACCTACTTTTGGGGCTTGGGATGGGTGGGAGTGTCCTTCCCTTGCCCTTTGGGGTCCGGAATTCTGGGAGGCACTGCTGGCCAGTTCCTTCGAGATCGAGCTTCCGTTTGGCCTGCAGAGGAATGAGAGAGAGACTGCCAGTTAGGCTCCTGCAAGAAGTTCAAAGAGCAGAACAAGCCCCAGCTGGTTATCCAAAGCTGCATTGCAGGTTTTCCATTTCTCTTATCAGGCACACAGTAAGATCTGTTCATCATCTATAACAGAAAATAGTCCAGGAGGAAAATCAGAATAAAACATTAGACCACCTCTCAGGAGTTCAGTGAAAAACAAGATAAATCATAATAGTGGAAATAATAATACACTAATATTGCTAATAATTATCAGTAAGGGAAAGTTTTTGGTTGATTAAATTATCTCCCTGTTACTACAGGTTCAGGCCTCTGTCTGAGAATTACTGAAAATCCAGGCTTCTGATCAGATAAGATCAAGGTTTTGCCCTTTAACAAACAAAGCCAAGTCATGCCTGTTTCTAGGTATGATGTTTGTTTTCCAGGCTCAGCTCAACAGTGCTGGTCTTAACATATTCTATGCATGTTACCCAGAATCATCCCCCTGTGTTCTGTAAGGCATATTCCCAAGTTTGCATACTCTAGATTGCAATCTCAGCAGTTTAGCCCACAATACTTGAAGAACTACCTCCTCCCCTATAAGCCTGCCCAAGCATTAAGATCTACAGCAGAGGCCCTCCTCTAGCTTTCCATCATTATTAGTGGTGTGGTAGACATGCAAAACAGAGCCTTGTTTGTGTTGGCCCCTGGGCCATGGAACACTCTTTCCACATGCACACAGCAGATGCTTTCTTCTTCCAGCAGCTGTTTAATCCTCAATTATTGCTCCATTCTACTGCTGATGGTTAGCAAGTCTTTGATATTCCCCAAGGCAGGCAACCCACTATCTTCCAGCTATTTTGAACTACAATTCGGAGAAGCCGGGAAGGGGGGCTGCATTCCAATGGTGGACAGATCCAAAGGCAAAACAGGGCAGGCACAACAGAAAAGGTGCAGAGTCCCGAGTGAAACCATTGTTATATTTTATCGTCAAGTTTTTGCTGCCAGTAACCAGGCCTTAGGAGAGGCATTTCAACCCTTAAAAATGGAAAGAAGCCACATAAACATTGGGACTCCACCAAACAATTGACAGTTGGGGAAAGAGGCCTAGGGAACTCTGACAGATTAGGACCCCAAATTATGGCAGACAGATTTGGCATGCAGGACTGAGGATCTGTGTTCTAGGGTCCCCACAGGCTGCCCTCTTATCCCCCATGCTTTCAAACTTCTGCGTGAAACAGTTGGCTTGAGACCACCTGGAGGTTTGCGGTGGGGGTCACCAGCATGCAGGCAACACTCGTGCACTTGGTCTCTGCATCTCAGCAGGAAAGGGTGCGCGCTGTCTAAGGAGCAAGGACAGCAAGCGATACCCATCATCAAGAAGCTGGTGCTTTGCTTTGTTTTTAAATGAAGTTGCTAATAACACACCAGGAGTTTTGAACAGAAGGAAGATCTTTGCCTGAAACCCTGGATTAGACAACACGGGTGGGGGCAGACTGAGGGTCCAAGGACCTAGATTTTTCTTCCCTGCTTCGGCAAGATGCATGCTGCACTCTTGCGTCTTAAAACTCCATGGGGAGAATGCAAATTCATTTGATCTACACACTCCATACAGGTTGCAAAATCCAGCTTGAGCCGTGCAGCACTCCTAGGCTTTTCTTGGTCTTTCCAAGCAACCTGCACACTTCCCTGAGCAGTTGTAGAGCTTGGACGCTTGCCCAGGAGAGCAGAAGGTTTGAGGGAAGCTGGTGGCAGGGCTGCAGCGCTTCAGGATCGGGGCTTTAGCAATGCCCTTGTGCCAAGAAAGCGCCTTGTCCAGTGTCTCAGAGAGAGGGATTGAGAGAGAGAAAGAGGCTCGCGATAGAGAATTCACACAAGTCACAGCCTGTTATTAACAGCTGATTCGAAAAACCTGCAGCTGCTCCGCCAGGGCAGGCCATAGAGAAGAGGGCTTGCTGCCACGAGAGTGTCAACTCCTGGTAGACATCTGCTGTTGCCCTTTCCAGCGGCAAGCGGCAGCAGGGCACCAAAGCCAACGAGCAGAAAAGCAAGAACAAATAAAGCACAAAGCAACCAGCTCCCCCACTGCTTCCTGCCCACTTCCTGCTTGGCGGCTCCCATGCGCCTGCCAGTCTCCCCAAGTGTTTCCTCTCCCCACTACCGGATCACTCGAAAGACCAGCGGTGGCAGGGAACTGGGTTGCGGAGTCCACAGGAGGAAGCTGACCAAGGCAAGTGGGGAGCATGCCGGCTGCCCCCGTCCTCGCTCAAGGTGGATGGGGGCGGGGGGCACAAAAACGCTTCTGCTCTACGAGTTCCCCTTGTCAGGTTTTCAGAATTTTAATTTGCAGAGGTAGTTTTCTATCAGTCCATCCTCAATGTGGCCACACTATTAAAAACAATTCAATATCTACCGAATAAAAGATACTACCAAATCAGAAAAAGGAACTGCAGAGAGGACTGGTATAAATCAGCATGGATTGGGTTATCTTGACCGGGCCAGAAAAGCCATGGAATCGGGTACCTGATGGAGGATAAAGCAATCAATGGCTACTGGCCGTGATGATTATCTATTACCTTGGGTGTCAGAGGCCATCTGCCTTGCACGCCACTTGCTGGGCAAGATGAGCAGCTTGCTGCTACTGCATTCATGTCCTTCTCATCAGGGCGTCTGGTTGGCACTGAGTGGCCATGATCCTAGAAGGGCCTTTGGTCTGATCTTTCAGGACATCTATCAACTTTTTCTGAGAATTTTGCAGCTTTATTCCAACATGGCTGAACAACCTTAACCATGGTTAGAAGCAATGTCCAGATCAACCAATCATGATCCATGATTTAGCCATCAAGTCAGGATCCATAACCATGGTCTATACCATAATTTCCACTCTAGTTTGTTATCGCAATCAACTCACCATGGCTAGGCTGTTACTCAGACACTGAGAAGTATTGTAGCTAAAGGTTGAGTATTATGACAATGAAAAAAGGAAGTGGAGGCAACTCTAAACCATGGTTTCTCTCTACGTTTGGAAGTTCAACTAGGGTTTGATACGCTGTCTGAAATGAGCAACATTCTCCCCTATTCTTCTCCAATGAAATTCATCATTGCATTGGCCAGAACAAGGAAGTCTAAATTTTTACACCCAGGGGGGAAAAGGCAAGTCTTGAGACCCTCCCACTTTGCTCCCTTGCTCTCTGACCATTCAATTCCTTGCCTCTAGCTCATGCTTTCTTTCCTCGTGATTCCTCTCCCTTAGCAAACCAAGCTTTGCTCCTACCGTCCCTCTCAACTCTCTGTCTTGCTATTTCTATTCCCACCCTACCTCTAACTTCACTCTTTCCCTCCCCTCCACCCCTTGGCACCACCTTCTCTTCCTGCCTACAGCAGTATCAGGAATAAGAAGCAGAACCTGCTACCCTCCTGATTTATAATCCTGGTTTGTAAACAAACCAACACATTAAACAAAATATTTCTAGTCTAGTTCAGGGGTGGGCAAAAGGTAGATCTCTAGATGTTTGCTCTTCTCTACCCAGAAGTCCTGCAAGCATAGCCAATCAAAGAGATTTCTGTATAAACTTGTAAAAAAAAATCAGCAGGTGTTATCAGGGGTGGGGAGAAAATTTGAGTGAAGAGATAACAGGACTCCTTTCACAATGTAAATCCATCAACAACAGACAACACCACCCATGGTCAGAGCAAGAATGCTTTCACTTGCGAACAGATCTAGCTTGAATAAGTATTTCTGGTATTCCAGGACTGAAGGCAGGAGCAAGACAGGTCTACATGGAGCTAAGGAATTGACGGCAGAGCACAGAATGTTAACAAACATTCCAACTGCTCAGACGCCAAACTGTCAGAACGTGTTACAATCCACCTTTCGTGAGAGAAACATTATTGATTGGGCTGTACTTAAAACCACAAACAGGGCCTTGAGACAGGGGCAGTTGTGTGGCACAGGTTGAGGACTAGAAGAGGCATGGAAGCCAAGGGTCAGGAATATCAAGAGGCAAAGCAGCTTCAAGGAAGTGCAGAGCAAGCAACGGGCTGCAGAACTGGAATGCGGGAGAAATGCTAAATGGCACCAAGTGCTTGCATTGTGTGGAAAGGAAATCGTGCCAATTATGGCTTCTACCATCCTTTAAGCGCTGAAACCAGAGAATCCCGTGGGGGAAATGAATGCCAATCAGCTGCTGTGCATGTATGGGTTGTGTATGCGAATATGAATTTGAATGACAACTGCAACCTTTCCACCTATTTGATTAACCAATTAAAACACTTTTAACTGGGAAGCAGTTTTTGTAAGTTTCTTTTCATGAAAAATATCAAATGGCTGGTACCATCTCAGGAATTCAAAATCAAAAGGTACTTTGCCCCACTGTCCTAGTGCAGTAGCAATGTTCTGGGTGGCTTACAAGAAATAATAAAAATGCAGACAGCCAAGCATGAAACATGTACAGGCTGACTCCCCCCCCCCCTACCCCCAGGGTCCCTCTTGGCAGTTAAGAGAGGCAACCAACCACAAGATACTCTTCTGGCACAACAAGAAGTCGTTGGCTAGGGTGACCAGATGCAAAATACGATGAGGCACTCATATTTTTAACCACTGTGTCAAAAATGGGATTGGACTAATCACAGCTTTCCCCAAGCCTGTGTGACAAGCAGCGCCAGCTGAAATTCACTCTCCTATACCAAGCCTTAAAAGCAAGAGTATTTCAAGGCGCCCATATTCAGTGCAGTTCTGTCTTACAGTTTCATGGAGAAGATGGCTACAGAATTCATTCAACATACAGATTCTTTTTCTTACCAAAAAGCATCAAGTTTCTAGCCCTCATGTTTACAAAGAAATATAAGAAGCTATGTAGGGAGTAATGCAAGAGTGATCAGCATTCATAAAGACAGGCTTGTGTATCCTGTCGGGCACTGTAGCTTTCAGTTACTGTCCTCCATAGGTACACGTACCCAGCACCCTCACTTAACGATAGTACAGATCTTTAGACGTTTTTATCTT